CTGCAGATTCCGCACTTTCTGCACTTTCCGCACTTTCTGCAGATTCCGCACTTTCCGCACTTCCGCACTTTCCGCACTTTCCGCAATTTCTTCAAATCGATACATATCTATTGCTTTTCTTCACATTCGGCATTTCTGCAGATTCCGCACTTTCCGCACTTTCGGCACTTCTTCACTTTCGGGCACTTTGTTGCCAACTTTCTTTCATTGGTCGCAAGCAATGAGCGCGCGGCCTAAGGCCGCGTTCATAGCTTGCGTTCGTGAAGAAATGCGGAAACTGCAGAAGTGCGGAAAGTGCAGAAATGACGAAAAGCATTACATACGTATCGATTTGAAGAAATGCAGAAATGCCGAAAGTGAAGAAATGCGGAATCTGCAGAAATGCCGAAAGTGAAGAAGTGCGGAATCTGCAGAAATGCCGAAAGTGCGGAAAATCGATACGTATCGGTTGCTTTTCTGCACATTCCGCACTTTCGGCATTTCTGCAGATTCCGCACTTCTTCACTTTCGGCATTTCTGCAGATTCCGCACTTCTTCACTTTCGGCATTTCTGCATTTCTTCAAATCGATACGTATGTAATGCTTTTCGTCATTTCTGCACTTTCCGCACTTCTGCATTTTCCGCATTTCTGCATTTCTTCATGAACGCAAGCTATGAACGCGGCCTAAGTAAGGACCCCGACCTGCTCATTTTATGTCAGCAAACCAATATTCTGCTGCCTCTGGCTGAAACGTACAGAAAAATAGAACCTGTGTTTTAGGGGGCGGGACAGCTAGGCAGGCGTTGAAGCTATCACTTACGAAGGTCGCAGCGCCTTTATTACTCACAGCGAATCCGCGAAAGTGCGCAGTCTTATTGTTAGAGATCGTATCCCGAACTACTGGAACAATAAGGACGCCTACTAACTGGTACAGCGCGCCTTCAAGAGTGAAAGCAACCATAGCGGAGTCATTTCTCAGCAGAGATTTGTTGATTGCACATATGACTGTGGGCGCAGACGTTGGCCTTCGGTCTAGCTATGACGTTCCGTGGTGAAGGCGAGCAATCGATCGCGCTGGTCTTTTAAGCTACAAGCAAGACCTACTTTCACATTCGCCGATTCACCGCGTACTCCTTTGTTTCCTATTCTGTTTTACTTTTGTAATACTGTTTCCTTTATTAGCTTTCATATTACTCCACAATATAGGCATGAACTCTGCTCAGCCCAGTCTATCAGCGTTCTCTCATCAATTTCCGCTCGTGCAGTGACGTTTTGTCATCAATTTGCGGTGCTAGCCCATGCTGATCGGTGCACTTTCTGTACATTTTCGTCTCCATTGCGAAACGATGACAAAACGCTCACGTCAGTCGCTCTGGAGGAATTTGCTGACATTCAGTTCTTTTTTAGTTGAAGTACAAGCTAATAAATTATTCAAGAAACCTTTCTTGTATCACGTGCCTCCCTTATACATCCATCAAACAAGGCTCAACTTCAGCGTTTGTTGACCGACTGATATAATTTCAGCGTAGGGATGCATCATTCTCATTTTTACTACGTTTCGCTTGTGTGGATGGTGAGCCATGCGTGTTCCCCATTGTCTGAAATGGGCTTACACAAGTAAGCCTCAGGGAACTGGGGTAGGTATCAATGTTTGTTACATCTCTTGTGTCCCGTTATTTTGCCGATGGATAATTACTGTCTACAACATCCTTATTCCTTCCCTTTTCTGATTACCGGGTTCCGGAAGGAGGTCACTAGGTTTTTTCTGTTTATGAATCTTCCATCAAAAACCTTCATCGAATTCGAAGTCATTTTTTTGCATTAGCAAGGCCTGGTAGGGGGATTCACACATGACTACATATGTGCGTGCTAAAGAACCCTTTAGTAAATGAAAGAGCAAAGGAAACCGCTGAACTTAACCTACATAAGCCTCCTTTTTGATACTACGCGAGCTTACTGGCACTCTAACAAGCCCTGCAAACTTGTTGGCTTCTTTCTACAAACCGATACGAATGCGTAATAGATTTCGAAAATTAGTATTTTCTTTTTTTCAGACTTTGTAACTGTGAGGAGTTTTTAAAAATTTTTTGAACTTTGGTGTTCTTAATGCAATATTCACCATGTCGCTTTTTTGGGGGAGAAAATGGGGGCGTGTGCATGCCATACAGCCTTGTTGCTGCGGATTGAAGCAGACCGTGTCAGGCCAGCGATGACATTCGTTGAATGGCGCGGCGCCATATCCGTTCTCCACCAGTTGTTGAAGCGGGTGAGTGGCAACAGTTGATAGAACACGACTAATACGAACGATATGATACAGTCTTGTCTCGCTTCAACAACTGGTGGAAAACGGTTTGGCATCGCGCCAAACCTGTAACGCCCGACAGGCCCCTTCACGGTAGCGATGTAGGGTGCACATCGGGGTGAAGCTGGCATAAGCCTTATTTCTTCTTTGTCGCGCATTTACAAAGGGTTGTAGTTCAAACAGTCTTTGTGGTCTCCGTCCTGTTCTCCATGTCTATAGACAAGGATTCTACCACCTGAGTTATGGCAAAACGTGCCTTCAAGACCTACCTGGCTTCTCCACAAATTCAGCTGACCTCACTAGGGATCATATCTTCCATTCGTCATCGTTTTCAAGTTTGAGCAATTCTCATAGTAATGGTTTTGCTGGTTATTCAATCCTGCAAAATTCTTTGAGCTTTTCCTATTGTTTCGTAAAACAGTGTTACAATTTTGTTGTTTGCTAGTTAAAGGCAAGCTCGCGATTGCCGTTCGTGAGTAGTTTGATTCAGTTACGAACGCCAATTCTTAATAACTCGACAGCAAAGAAGAAAGCAGAAAGACCCCCCCCCCCAGAAACGCTTGTAATAGATTGCTGGTTGAACTGTTGCCTCTAAGAATTAGAAGAACATACGACGAGGAGACAGTGAGCGTAGCCGAGAGAGTCGGACGATGGCCTGGCCAGGGTACAAGTAATGGAGAGACTTCACCGCTCTATACCAAAGGTGGAACGATATAAAAAAAGACAAGGATCGTAAAAGGAGGGTGCAGGCGGCGAAGCGTGTTGAGCGCTGGCGCTCTTATCAAGCAGTTTCAAGCCGTGGAAGTGGGACATCCTCTACGTCTGCGGACCAGGCCGCCTGCTCCAAGAACAAGCTTCTGAACATTGGATGACGTGAACTCCGTTTAGTGAAATTACTGGCGAGGTGTGTCTATATAGCGTCTAGAGCTCACCCAGTGAACGCTAAGGAGTCCGCTGTCGTCACTAGTGAGGGTTTAACCAAGGTTACTAGTTGAATTTGATGGTTGACGTCATAACTGTACGGAGTTATCATTTAGTATTTGTGGGCCTTAGCGCCTCTTGTACGAATACAAGTTAAATTCTTCCACTCACGCATTCTCCAACTTTTTTGGATATCGCGCGCTACCCTGCACGGTCTGGATTTTTTTTCCGTGCTCTGTTTTTGTCGTTTTGCATGTGGCCATTGCACCAATCGCTGTCTGTTTAATTTGCCAGTTTTTTGGGATCGGGTGTCGTGAGTCTCTGTGTTTACTCTATCTCTCCCTGACTTTCCTATTTCCGGTGTCTCCTATTTGCCCTTCCTAAAGGATTGCTCCATGTGCTTTTACGTTCTTTATATATTCCCTTGTAGATAAATGTCACGTTTACGAGGCAATCGCGTGACTTGGAATTTGACAGCGTTCTCAATGTTTGTTTCTATGTCTCTCTAGGTCTTCTGATTCATCTCCTTTACGATTTGATGATCGTGAACATAGATCGGAGACAAACTGTGCGCTCACCTCCATGAATCCTGGTACGCGGCTGCTGAAGCGTGCCACTCCTCCGCCTATGCTCAAAAGTTATCGGAACGGAGGTGGAGGGCAGTGACCGGGGTGCCGTTTCTGCACTCCGCCGGCGCTGCCGCACCGCTAGCCACACGCCTAACCATAGCCAACCGCGCTACTTGTCTGCGTCCTCTTTTGGCTGTCTCGACTGCGTGATCGTTGCTTAATTGAATATCGACGCAAATGCTGCCCCCTGAGGATACTGCTGGCGGAGTCCGGAACTGGCAGCCAGGTATCAGTACCCTTCATCCTCATTTCGAGCGCTCTGAAATGGCGGAATTGCTACAGTGTACGACTGCGCACATTTTCATCCAGCACATGGCAAGAACCATCGTCGGAACTGAATTACCGGTTAGTCTTTGAGGTCTTTCCCTCTTTTCAACGCTATATTCTTTTCTAGTTCTCCAGAACTGCAGTTTTCTTTCTCTGAGTTTATGTCGTAATTGTTTACGAACGTTCTTTTAGTAAGGAACGGTAACTGACTCGGAAGTGCTGTTCTTGCAGGACGTCGCTCGTCCTTAATGGAGGCTCTTTTCTTCCTGTCGTAGGGTTCACCAAGCCCCTGACTTAATTTATTTGAGACCATGCTAACCATTTCTTTGAAAATTTCTGTCCTGAACCTTTTTTAAGATAGTGGCTTTTTATGAGACTTTGTAAATGTGCATATTATTGCACTCGGGTATTGAGCCGTTTTTCTTTGATCAAAAGCCATGAAAGCAGTTAAACACATTTACCGTCTTGTTCACTGCGGAGGAGGGGGTGTGTCAGGAGGGATGGGTTTGACACGGGTCAAACCCGTTTTCCACACTTGTTGAAGCAAGTAAGCGTCACTTGTATCCCATCGTTGTGCCCAAAATTTGCCGCGAATTGTCCCACGATAGGCCGCGTGCGGCGAATGCGAGAAGAGACGATGGCCTTGTCCATCTCCCCAGATACGATGCATTACTAAAGCTCCACAGAATTTCATAAAGGTTTTTGAGAAATCTTCTCTATATTTTACAGCGTCTTTCGTCTTATAACAACCTCTCCTTGCTTTTCATTTTGTGTTGTGGAGCTCCTTGGTTCCACTTGACCACTCCCTTCTTCTTATCATTTGAATGTTCATTGTTCTAGTGCAATTGTCATAGATCTCTAGTCGCGTTTTGGTTCTTGTTTGGTTAAGCTAATGGTTATATGAATGAACAGCTTGCACTACAGACCGCCATGCCTCCAATAATCTCTGGTAGTTCCTTCACTGTGCACAGCGGCAACGTTAACAACTACCTGGAGGTTTGTCGGCGAGTTGGTTGATTCAGGTTTCAGACGTTTATCACACCCGATTTTCTTTTCAGCTTGTTACTCGACGTCATAAAAATTCTGCTGCTGAAATCGCCGCTGCTTTTAAGTACTTGGCTGCACAAAATACAGTATTTCGATTAACGGAAAGCGTCTTTTCACCCACTACAGAAGTACTGCAAGATCCAAAGAACGATGTAAAAACTTCACTCAAGGTCAGTTGAAACGACATTTTATTCCTTTAATTCAAACACTTCATTTCAAGCGTTTCAGGTCTGCCTTTCCACATTTTCGGCTAACGACGTTCAAAATGCGGTTCACAGTCACGTTAGACACACTGAAGCTGGGATCATTGTCGCAGCTCATCGTATCTTTCCCTTATGACGAATCTACGGTACGCTTTATCTTTCTTCGATTCTTTGTTTAATTACAAGACTTTGGGCTAAGTCCATATTTCAGTTTTCTGAGCGTTTCCAGCGTAAAGCAGCGTTTTGAGCGGCCAGGAAAGTAAAGATATCGATATAGCGTTTTCAGCGTACACCGGCGTTTTGAAGGCAGAGCCCGCGACCACAGATGGGTGGGGGGGGGGTGACGGAGCTCACATACGAGAGAAAGTGCTAAGTAAGAGCGCGTTCAGACTTCGCGATCGCGCGATCGGATCGCTTGGATCGCGCGATCGGATCGCGCGATCGGATCGCGCGATTGGATCGCGCGATTGGATCGCGCGATTGGATCGCGCGATCGGATCGCGCGATTGGATCGCGCGATCCGATCGCGCTACTGAGGGTGAAATTACTGCGGGAGGGGGTTATGTGCGTATATGTTTATTGATCCTGCTCTCTCTCTCTCTCTTTTCCTTCTTTCTTCCTTTGTGTACATAACGCCCTCCTAATTTTAAAGAACGTTTCGAAATATCTTTGAGTTATTTATTATTTCCTATGTAAAATAGTACTAAATATACAATATGCTAATTATTATACTGAATTTTGCATCTGAGTACGTTCAAGCGGAGTGTTGAACATCTTGTTCCAAAAGTAAGACACGCAGAACTTTTAACAGCGGGTGATGTTGTTTCTCTCCCTTCCCCCGATTTTGCCAGTCCTCCAGATATTCACTTTACTTTTGTCACATTGTTTGCTTTGTTTGTTCTGCCATCCTCCAGGTCTATACACGACCTTTCCTTTCAACGATTTCTGCCCAAGCGTTGATGATTGCGAATATTGAACGCGCATAAAGACATCAAAAAAGGTCGAACTTACTTTTATATCGTTTTTGGAACTGCCTATTGGAGGCAGGATAGAGCATTGTGATGTGAGAAATGGTGATATTAGTACGCTCCCTTCCCAGAACTTTGTTGTTGTTGTTTGTTGAGTTGAGTTGAACATGAACGAACGTGACCCCCTCCGAAGTAATCTTCACCCTCAGTAGCGCGATCCAATTCGCCGATCCGAATCGCGCGCATCAAAAATCTCGGGATCCAATTCGCGGCGATCCAATCGCGCGATCCCAATCGCGCGAGATCCGATCGCGGCGATAACGTCATCGACTCCGATCGCGGCTTCGCGGAAGTCTGACAGCGCTCTAACTGACAAGTGCAGAAAAGAAGCAGAGGAAATGTGATGAAATGAATGAAGAAAAATGAAATGTCCGAAATGTCCTAAATGGGACACCATGACGACTTCAGCTTGTACGTGAATGCAGTGAAGAGAACGCGTGTTTGTACGAGTTTACACTCATCGTTATCATGACGATGTTAGCTCCTTTATCTTATCACCTCACTCTCACCATTCGGAATGAAGAGAGATAGCATAGTGGCTACTAGCTAGTAGCTAGCAGCCTAGTGGGGATCGGCACGGGCCTATTGGTAAGGAGATCAGTTTCACAGAAATCTCTTTCAAGTCACCATTCCACTCATAGCGCAAGCGCGTTCTGTGGTGGGAGTATAGTTATCTTCCTTTTCTTCAAATTTTGTCGCTTTCTCTCCCGTGTGCTCCAACGTTCATAGCTGCCCATGTTCCTAATTGGACAGCTTTCAGCGGTGTTCTTGCCGATTTTCACTTTTTGAAGGTAGCAGAGCCTCCAGAATCGCCCCGAACCGTCTGACACATTTAAGCCTTATTTTATCGCGGAAAGTGCCTTTAGGCGTTCCCGCGGAGACTTTTGGCGGGCACTCGCTGAAAACACCGGCTTACGCTAGGAGCGCTATAACTGTATCTTCCTAGTCACTCAAAACGCTGCCGTACGCTCGAAACGTTTCGGAAACTATGAACGCAGCCCTAGTGGTTTAGAGCTATTAGTATTAGTTCCAGTGGCTCGATCGTGGTACATGCGAGGGAGCAAAGGCAAACACTGGATAATTTTTTACCGAGTTGTGTACTGGGTGCTGCTGCGCTCTTTCACAGAAATCTCTTTGAGTCACCCTTCCGCTCATAGTGCGAGCGCGTTCTGTGGTGGGAGTATAGTTACTTTCCTTTTCCTTCAAATTTTGTCGCTTTCTCTCCCGTATGCTCCAACGTTCATAGCTGCGCGATTTTCATTGGGCAATGTTTAAGTTAGCTGTATTTGCTGAATGTCCCATTTTAGGATTTATCCGACAACGAGTGGCTGGAAAAAGTTCGTCCTGTCTGGGAAGCTGTGGAGAGTCTGTGGACAAGGATTTGGTTCATTCAGTGGGTGAGATGTTTCAATACTGACGAACCCTGGTAATAATCGTTTGGGATAAATTTGATTTTCTAAAGTGCCTTCTGTTTCAGGAGTATCTGATCTAGACGTTGACCGGTTACGATTACTATGTGAAGAAGCGAAGGAGCACAAACCCACAATAGATCATTACAGTATTGATGGATGTTGTACAGTGAGTTGCCTGTTATTCCTGACTTTTGTTGAAACAATCGCTTTCCAGAATTTTCAGAGCCACAAATAGCTTCTTGTGAAAATAATTTGAACTATTATTATATTATAAATAGTTGTGGAACGATTGCGAAGGTTTCTGGTCAAATACTATATCTGGACATCGATTGTCGTACACTGGCACGGGTGATTGCAGAACTTTGTGGTGATTCTGCCCTAATACTGAACCAAATAAGGAGAACCGCCCTCATGGAACATCCTCGCTGAATCCGAGTGAATTTTGGGCATAGTTTGAGGTCTTCTTCAGTGGGATAGTACATGTAGCCATAACCACGAGGTACAAGCGAACTACTAGGTCAGACTTTTGGCCTCAGGTTGCGTTCATACTTTGCGTCGGCGTACGGGAGCATTTCGAGCGTACACCAGCGCCAGCGATAAGGAAATGCATAGGTATTCGTCAAGCGTGTGCCAGCGTGTGCCAGTGTACGCCAGCGTTTGCACGAGCAGCTTGAGCGTGAACAAAATTGCCCTGTTGTAAGCGCTGACACACGCTGGCGTACGCTAGATTGATATGATTTCCTAGTCTCTGGGAACGCTTCTGTACGCTGGCGTACACTCAAAACGCTGCCGTACACTGCACGTACTGACACAAATTATGAACACAGCCCTAGCGCTTTCGTTGAAGCCTTGGAAAGCTCTGAAGGTGCTGTTTGACCACCGCTAAACTTGTTATCTTGGTCTTGTACACAATTTACACGAACATAGTCTCATTAAGACTGGTCTTCCAATATTCTTTTCTGCGAATGTTCGCAAATAAACAAAGAAGATGGTCCATCTTTACCACTTCCGTTTTTAATTAGGAAGTCCTTGAGATGGTCCATAACTGCTTTTGCGGGATAGGGACTCTGCACTTCATCATTCTCTTTTGCAAACAACTAAAATTCATTGCTGACATGTAACAAAAATACAGTGGATAGCGTAGAATTTGTTCCTTTGTAACACGAACTCACGTCCACGTGCTGCAGCTCAGTATTGCGGCATCTATGTGATGAGTTTGGCAGGTAGGAGAGACGACAACCGTCACCGCTCTGTTATGCATCGCGTGCCGTCTCGCCAGCGTTGACAATTCTAGACATCTCGAGCGTGACGTAGACATATTGCTCGGACATTTCTCGTGATGCCATAATGTCAGAGTTTTTCTGATTTTGTTCCAACTCTTTCTTATCTATGCATTTAAAACCGCTTCTCGCGTCTTGATCACAGCTACGTGATCAAGGAAATTCCGCCACGCGCGACGAAGCGGCGATATTAAAATTGCCTTTGCCGCCTCGAGTTTGGGTATCATCGGGTATCATCCCATGCAAAGAAGAAAGAAAGAGGAAAACAACAAAAACACGGAAGAAAAACTCCTGAGAAGGACGAGAAACTGTCTTGAAGAAGATGTCTGTGGGCTTTGTTTCACTGACATTCTCTATCAGATTGCTGGGTTTCATTTTTATCAGTTCTTTTTGTCGGAAACAACGGTTTTCACTCGTCAACAAATCTCAGATTACATACTCTACACACTCCCACCCTTCCACATAGTGGAACATATTCGCTTGAAAATCACGTTTTAAGCTCATTGCAACAACGTATTGCAGTGAATCTGCCGGACACTGACCGTTTTGTTTCAGGGGGAAACAAGAATTCTATTTCGATTCCTGAACCTCTTTCCTTAAAGACAGCCCACGCGCTCGAGTAGTACATGGTCGTCCTTCCTTGTGCAAGTAGTACAGCCCCCAAGCTAGAGACTGTCCCACTCTCGCGACTCCACAGCGAGCGAGGAGCGAGCTACAGTCGCTGAAAGTTCTAGTTCTAACGCCCGCTCAGTCGGACCGCCCACTTGCTAGATGCCCTCTGACGGAGGTCCGCTCAATTGTTCCTTTGTTGGGGCCGCGGGCATTAATCGGAATTGCATGCCTTTTGCTGACCGCGCTCGTGCCCGTAACTAATCCTGCTTTAATTTATTACATTTTATTCATTAGGAGCACATTCAGTCAAAATATAATCCATCTTGCAAGGTAGAACGTAAAGAATCACGAGCGACCCAATTTTTGTGGTGCAAAAGCTCGACGCACTACAATACACTAAAAGATGCACGCTACCATAAGCTTAAATTAGGACGACCGAGTTTTTGAAAGTTCCTTTTCCTTTTCTCAAGAGTTTTTCTTCCGTGTTTTTGTTTTTCCGTATTCTTTTCTTTGCACTGGATGATATCCACTACTGGGAGATGTGATAAAGGAATTTGTGAGCCAGGGGTTGCACTGAAACCCTAGAGAGATGTGACTAACAGGGAGCGATTTTGTTCCTGGTGTTCTTGAGGGCTATTCTTGCTTTTTTTTCCTTCTCTGGGAAATCACTTATCAGCTACTGTTTCATAATTGAATAGCAACTATCCATGACACTTTCATCGCGGGAGCTGTCTTTAATTTCTCTTTGATAACTTTCACAGTTCTTGCAACCCAACATGTGTTTTTTATTTCTTCGCTTATTTT